GGCAGGGGGGTTGGACTAAATGACCCACAGAGGTCCCTTCCAACCCCTACCATTCTGTGATTCTGTGTTTGTGATCACTCTTCTGCCTGGAGAGCGTACACAGCCTAGGTCTCAGCAGGGTGGCGTGGGATCAAGATGACAGAGAAATTGGTCTTGTGGTGATGCAGGAGATGCCCACCCAGTGTTCATTTGCATGTTGTGCTGCAGGAATCAGGACGTGAAACACCATCTTCCACTCGAGCATCTAGTGTGAACGGGACAGACGATGAGAAGGCATCACACGGTGGTCCTGCTGAGGCACATCTCAAGTCTGAGAATGATAAATTAAAAATTGCTCTAGCCCAAAGGTGAGGTTCATTTAATACCTAAGTTGCATTGGAATAGCGTACTGTAATTATCTGATGGCTAATGATATTAACAGAAATTATTCAAATGTAATTGCATTAATTTAAAACGATGCAGCAGAATGCATGAATGAGCAGATTTTAGCAAGTACCTCCCGGTATCCAATTGAGAGATATTTACCATTTATTTTTTTCCTGATCTATTTCATGATGAAATAAGATGTCTTTTATTCTGCTGATGCCAACTTTCATAACCACCTTCATTTGTGAGGTTTTAGAACTACAGAAAGAACATTAAATCCATGGGGGAGCAGTTACTACTGATAACATGTGAAGCCAATCTCTTCTTCCTCTTTGAGTTTGCTACATTTACTTTGATGAAAATAGATATGGATATTTAAAATTAGAAAAGGGAATGAACTCAACCATAAAAGCTGAAGTGAGAAATATAATTTCACCAGGCTGCTCAGAAGTCTTGAGGGGATGTTTCTAAAGCTGTGGACAATGTCCCTTGAAGTCACATTTTTTGCTGTTTGCTTTGATAAATTATTTGAAAATGCTGAGAAGAGTAATTTGCAGCTGTAGTGAAAATACAGGCATCGGAATATGCAAAGTTATGACATGAAAATCAAGTAATTTTCTACTGGGATCTTGCCTTGTCTGCCTCTTGCATGTGAATATATCTGTGAATGGAAAGAAAATCTAACGGGATCAAGCTACTCTTAAAAAGCTATTTAAAAAATAGGGCACCATAAGCAGCATTACCCAGTGAGCAATTCTAAGGTTGCATATATTATATTTGCAGTACATCATCTCTCTTTATTGAGATTTCTATAGCACATCCTATTTCAAATCATAATATTTGATCCTTCCGCCTGCTGAAGACACCTCCACAGGCAAGTAGCAACTAGCATGTGGGGACCTTCAGAGCCTTCCTTCCATGCACTCTCTTGTCTTGTGCTTTACGCTGCAGGTTGAAGCTTTCGGGAATGAGTATTTTAATTCTCCAGCATTATGTAACGCTTTTATATGTAAGGCTAAGCATTAAAAAAAAATCAAATATAGGTAGCGTCAACCCCCTGACATCTTCAGTTCTGAATTACTGTCCTGTTTGCCCATGTGTAGCGTCACTTTGCTGCCCAGGTAGCAGGTCCGCAGGCCGGCACGGCAGCAGGGGCTCAGCAGGGCACAGCCGCTCCGCTCTGCAGGCGAGCACTGACCAGCACGGCGCCAGAGCAAAACCCCTGTTTGCAGACGGTGGAGGTCCCAGCTGTCAGCTCAACCCCGCAGCCTGCTTTGACAGCAGGGCTGCTCTTCCAGAAGCACAGGTCATTGCTGCTGGAGTTGGCAGATCCCTTTGTTTTGGCAGAGGCAGTCAAGGCTTGTCTCCTCCTTAGGCGGGCAATGGCTGGGGGACGTACACACGTCTGAGTATGCTTGATCTTATAACAGTGGATCATCGGTAAACATGCACCACGGGCGGATGAGTTTGCTGTCAGGTAAAGAGTAATGATACACAGGATTATAAGGTGAAGCCACCTAATGGCACCCTGGCTTTCGCAGTTCATCCAATGTGAAGAAGTGGGAGACGGAGCTGCAGACGCTGCGGGAGAGCAACGCCCGGCTGAGCACGGCGCTGCAGGAGTCCGCGGCCAGCATCGAGCACTGGAAGAAGCAGTTCTCAGCCTGCAAGGAGGAAAACGAGCAGCTCAGGAGCAAGGTAGCAGCTCGTACTCATCTCACTTCCAGTTAGCTGCTCCTGCCATTGCTCTTTCTCTTGGATTTTTGCTGCTTTGTCTTTGTGTGTGTTAGGAGATGGATTTTGTCTTTGAAAGGGAAGGGAGTTTAAGGCAGCTGCTTCCTTCTGCAAACAGCGGGCAGTGAAGTTCAAAGGGCTGGGGATCTGCGGGAGGACTGGTGCTGCCGCCGTGCGTGAAGCTCCCTGCCTCTTGATTTGGGAGACCTGGTGTTGGCAGGGATTGCTGGCTGGGGTGATAACACAGAAGGGTTTTAAAAGTGGGCGTACTATTTCGTACCCCTTTCAAAGCTCACTTAAATACTGCCAGATGATGAATGAGCAGAAGGCAAGGTTGTGGCCTGGTTACCCAGAGGAAGCCAAGCTAGGAACCACTCAGTACTAGAAGCAAATGCCAACGGCAGGGCAGGGAATGAGCACGTGAGTTATGTCCTCAGCACTGTAGGCTGTGAGCAGGGTCCTCCAGTGCCAACGCTGGGCACATCTCATCCAGAAGCCTCGCAAGAAGCATTGCGAAAAGCCTTTTGCCTTCCATTACTGTGCACAACATTTCTCAGTAGTGAAAGACCGAGGGTGAGCAGCGGCTGCAGCAGAAAGCACTTGAGAAGTTTAAATTTTGAAAGCCTCAGTTTAGAGTAGTCATTGGTACTGTCCCTCAAATAATACCATGCTATCTGTCAAGAGCTGGTGGCAGCCCCAGGCAGTGCTGGCACCAGCCTGGGCATGGGGAGCCTGGTTTTCATGAGCACGGCTTGCAGGGATAATTTCACTCTGTTCATCTTAAACATCTTTGAAAAAGCTGGACCGTTTCCCTGCTCGCTTAGATGGATCACTGGGGCATTTGGTGTAGAGATCAGATTGTATCAGTCTGGTGAGGATTTAGTTTTTGTTTTAGTGTTTGCTTTCAAAGAGGGGAAGGAATTTCATATCTTTTTGTACATCAGTAGGCTGCAAATAGTATTTCAGCGTTGGAGGTGGCCTGGGTTGTCTGTCTGCACTAAAAATCCATGTGGAGCAACCTCTTCCCCAGGCGGATACTCTCTATCTGTTCCCATATATTTTAGGTGCACGCAGTGATAATTCAGAGGTCAAGCCAGAGCTGTATGAACTGATGCTACATTAACAAATCAATGTTAGTTGTTTCATGATTTGGGTTCCTGTATCTGATCTCTTTTGGATAGGGCAGAAGTGAGTAAGCGGTAGCCTAGATATGAAGAGATTATCAAAACACTGCCTTACTACAGCTGCAGAGTCATTGCACCAGTGACTAGCCAGGCTGTGCAGCAATGCTGTCTGTACAATGCGCGGCCTTTTTCTATGCAGAGAGATTTTCTGGGCTTTTCCCCAAAGTAGGTTCGCTCGGCGCTCACGCTGCACCACTGCAGCGCCTTGGGAAGTTCCTTCTCCTTTATTAATTGGGTCAGAATTTTTTGCGTATTGCTCTACCTTCAAATGAGGGAAGTTTTAATCCCAAAGCAACACAAAGCTGAGAATTAAAATACATACTTTAATGAGGTGGCCCGTTGGCCTGCGGTAAGTGTGTCTCCTGGGAGCCAAGTCCAGAGCTGGCAGAAGGAGGTATGGAGGGAGCGAAGTACGTCCCTGGGCGAGAGAACAAAGTGGCGTATGTTGCTCTGAACTGGTTCTCCCCCCAGAGTTTTGATGTTGGGTCCATCATACTCCAGCTAGAATAAGAAGCAACCCTTGAGGAGGCAAAGCTGGGAGTGCTGGAGAGATTTCATCTCCTTGCTGCGTTAAGAAAACCCATCCCTTAAAGTCTTGTGTTGGGTTTGTAGAAGCGAAGTGCAAATTTTCTCCTCAGCCCCACTTATTTTAGCAGCTCAGTGAATATGAGCTACTGTGCAAGAGAGAATAAACATGGTCCTGGGGCTTCCTAGTGGATTTGTAAATTGGCTCTTTTAAGGAAAGAATTGATAATTTTGTTGCAGTGAATCAAGTGCTATGATCTAGGAAATGGATCCATGACAAATCTAAATTGTCCGTGCTTCCCTGTGCTCAGTAGAGCAATGCTCCTTTCCACCAGCTGTAGTCTGCCCCAAATTTCCAGAAATTTGAAAAATTTCACCTAATGCCTGACGTTTCTTAAAGATTGAAGAACTGGAGGAACAATGCAATGAAATAAATAGAGAGAAGGAAAGAAATGCGCAGCTGAGTAGACGCCTCCAGGAACTGGAAACAGAGCTTCAGGACAAAGAGCTGGTAAGTGCCCTGAACACAGAAGTGGCATGCTTTGGAGTCTGAGCGGCTCTGTCTGCTGCTCACTTGGGGTGTAGGATTGTGGACTGCCTCACAACCAGAAGCCCAGTGTCTCAGAATGTCACCCGTATCTAGATTTTCTATGTTCAACTCTTTAGCAATAGTTTGATAGAGTTCCTCAGTCTCAATTTCGTAATGTTTTATGCGCTGTGACAGCACACTTTGATTTGGCAGTGGTTAACAGACACAACACTTTTATGTATACAACACTTTACTCCTAACAGAAGAGCTGGAGTGGCGAAACAAGTTGACCAAAGCCAGAGACCTATGCTGAGAACAGAGTCTCAGTTGCCAGTCCCCATGTCCTGAATTCCTGCAGACATCAGGACCAGCATTAAAAGACACCATTTACAAAATAACTTGGTGTTTGTGTAACAAGTCCTGTTTCTTTGTCCGGATGGCTGGTAGTCTTCGGCTTTGCCATTTTACGGTCTCCCTCTGATCTCAAGGCTAATGCCAGGAGTGAGAAATTCAGATTCATTTAGAGTACCCCAGTCTGTCATTTTTGACATACAGAGCATTCATTTTTCGAAGGAGAATGATGTCGATGGCTTGGAGACCCTGAACGGTGGGGAAAATAATGGGATCCTCATTTTTTTCCCTCGTTACAGTGACCAAATGCTCTGTGCTGGCTGAAGAGAAAAAGCTGTCAGCAGGTGCAGTAAAGTTTGCCATGTGCCATTACAGCATCTCTGCTGGTGCTCTTAAAAGCAGTGCCATTGAGGGTTTTTAAGATGGCACAAGGAAGTAGTTTAGGGAGATGGATTTTGATGTACTGTTATAATATGTTTTTCAGCCCCATATTTCAAAGGAAAATGTCATGCTTTCTTCCCAGCCTTTCTGTGGTAATGGCATGTATAATAACCCTTATTGTCTGCCGGCATTTTCCTCAAGATTCACATTTTTATGGTACCAAATGAACCAGAAAATTGATTGACTTGTGAATATTACATGCCTATCTTCCATTTACACTGACAATATACTAACTTGTTTTCAAACTGCATGCTTACATTAGCAGGTTCTTGATTAGGTTTAAACCACCCATAAGTAACCTTTTCATGGTCTGCAATTCAAACCAGCATGAAGCCTGCTCTTGTATGTTGCCATGTAAGAGGAGCAACTGATATCCTCTTCGTGACGGAGAGAGAAATTTAGAGACATGGCAGTCAGGACAGAGCTATCTAGTGATATATTTATATTTATATGTACACCATATGCCATGTGCCATATACCGTATGTATAGTATGTATATAAATATGCACACACTCTATTATACTATATATAGTAAGTATACAGTATAGTAGTGTGTGTGTATATAGTAAGTATATATAGTATAATATATATAGTATATATAGTATAATATATTTTTATTTTGAAATGTGAGCCCCCAGCTATTGTTTATACAGATATATATGCATGGGAATCAGGGCATCTTGAGAAAACACGTTATTTTCTGGTTCTGTGGCAGAGCTTGACTTACGGTTTCTGTTACACTTATACTGTACTCTGAGTTCATCTGTTAGGGGAGAAACCACATTTAATAGCCAAGAAACCGGCCTTTCAGATAAGACTGGTTTTGCCGTTCTGTGTCAGCACAGCTCGGAGAGGACGTACCCCTGCTAACTCCTGAGACCATCGCCTACATGGGCAGTTTCTGGAGGAGGCTCTTGCACTCCCTCCAAGGCACATGGTTTCTCTTGCACCTGCAGTGTGCTTTACAGATGCTTTGACAATCTTTCTGTAAAATGTACAGTCTTTCTTCAAATCTTTCCCTGCTACCCACATCGGTGGTGTTCGTTTGTGGTGTTAATGCATTCAGCTCTCTTAATTTCCATCAGAGACACAATCTCCTGTCAAGTCACATTGCACTTTGCGTGAACCCCTTTCAGCTAGTCCTCTCGATTTTGGCAGTGATGCCAGAACCGAATACAGATTTTTGAGGGAGGGTTCCTAGAGCTGTACAGTGGAGGAGAACCCATTACAGCTGTGCTCTGTAATGATGCCTCTATATATTCGGCTCGTAATGTCACCGGCCTTTTTTTGCTGCCATATATCATTGAAAATTCGTGTCTAATTTGCTCTTTGCTACCACCTATAAATTGCTTGTAGCATTACAGCCCTTCAGATTTCTCTCTTATTGAATATCTTTTGCATAGCTATGTGTTTTAGGTTAAGATTTCATTAATATATTTAACGGCATTCATGCTAGAGAATGGATTACACTGTTTTAGAAATACAAAGTCAAAAACACAGTGTAAAAATGTATTCTAGTAGAAAATTAGCATGTGTCTTGGAATGCAGACATGCTGTTTTGATTATTTTACATCCAAATACTCTGCAGAATACAATAAAATATGCAAAGTCATTTCATACTCTCAAGTTTTCATTATGTTTTATATTGAAGCTTGCATTATTTTTTTCTTTTTTATTTTCAAAGGAACTGGAAGAGCTGCGAAAGCAGGGTGAAATTATACCACAGCTCATGTCAGAATGTGAATCTGTATCTCAACAATTACAGGTACAGTTTAGCAATGAAATTAATTTAAAAATAGTTGATACATTTATTTTCTTTCTCATAACTATATGCTTTTCTCTGTTCAGACTTCAGTGTTTGAAGGCAAAGAGCTCTAGTTTGTAAAAACAAAAAATGCTAATTACGGGCAAAATACACCATGCCCTTCCCAGCACAGGAGTAATTAAATAGCTCCATTTCTTTGCCTTGCTGTTTGCAGAAATTAGTTTGCCTGGGATCATGTTGCATCTATCCCCTGCGGATTCCAGGCTATGCTCTGCCCTGTGTTTCTGCTGCTCTGGGCTCGTGTCAAGCAGCACTCCATAACCTGCGGCTGATTGCCACAGTGGCACCAGGGAAGGCTTTTGGGAAAGAAGTAGATGAGTGTAGCTACGCACCAGCAGGGAAAAAAGCTCCCCCGAGGCTGCCATGACATGCTGCATCGTTCCTTTCCAGCAGAGCACGGCTCGCTGGGGCTGGGTTCCGCACGTGAGGCTCCTCTGCTCGCTCGGAGCGGAGCTCGCTGGGCTGTGGAGCCCTGCCCCAGCCCAAGCCTGGCCTTTGGGCATTGCTTGTTGAAGCTGGGGCTTGTTTGAATGCAATAAATTTATACATGAAAGGAGAGCAAATATAGGTAGGCTCATAAATAACATAAAATCTAAACAACCAAATAAACCATCACTCTGATTATCTAAATGATCTAAAATCATTTACAAGGAGTGCAGATGTTGAAAATGGTTAAAATATAAATTTTGTTTGATCCATATGTCAAAATATGTCATCTGGGGCTTTTGGTGAGAATAGGCATGTATGTACACACATGCAATGGAGAGCAATGGGCAGAAGAGCTAGCGAGAGGTGGAAATAACAGAACGAACTGCAGCAAGGGAAGTGTTACGCGGCTGCCCCGTTCCTCGCCTGAGTGCTCACAGAAAGTGAAACTTTAAAAAAACACCAATAAATCCAAAAGCATTGAATAAAGCAGCATGAGCCCTCAAGCAGTATTTTCTAACCTTGTTTTTCCAGGTTAAACCACCATAGATAATTCTCTGTGTAATTGGTGGCACAGTGTCTAATTCTGCAACTGTAGCAGTGACAGAAATATATGCATATTACATGATTTAAATCCAGCTGAATTTTAAGATCCCAACTGAGTGACAAAACCTGATGCAAAGCATCTTTGCCAGTTAATCTGTGTCCCTTCCTGCGTGGGCTTCCTTTCCTTTTAATCTGACTAGCGCACGCCTCCTGCTCTCAGAGGTGCTTGTCTTAATCAATTTGCAGAAGTCGAAGCAAACTTTTACAGCCTGGCTGCCGTTTGTTGCTTTACCCCGTTAAATGCTGCTCATCCTTCTTCTCTGTGATTCATCTGATTGTCTCTTTTGTCTTTAAGGCTGCTGAGGAAAAGAACAAAGATCTTGAAGAGAAAGTCAGAACGCTAAGGACAGAAGTTGAAGAGAGCAAACATAGGCAGACCAACCTTAAAACTGAATTAAAGAATTTTTTAGATGTACTAGATGGGAAGATAGATGAATTACATGACTTCCGACAAGGACTGTCTAAACTTGGGGTTGACAACTAGATGGCAATAGATTTTTTTGTAACCTAGGGTCTGGATGTTTGATGTTCTGTTGATCCCAAACGTGTGTTTTACAAAATATAACTAGAATGTTCCACTTGTTTGCATTGTTTTTGTACATAGAGGCTGAAAATTTGCCATGGGGGGGTTTTGTTGTTTGTTTTGTTTGTTCGTTTGTTTATTTTCCAAACCAATCGTGCTGCTCACTGAATTCTGTTGAGATTAGAAACTTTCTATATTGCTGCTCTGGCTTCGTGGGGTTGGGAACAGGTAGAGGGTTCTGTCTCAGGAATCTGGAACTAGATCTACCTTGAAATGAATATGCAGTTAGTTGTTGCAGGGAAATTTATATCTTTCTTAAGGGCTGTTGCAACCATAGAAACAGAAAACAAGTCTTTTTCTTGTCCGGACTATCAGCATTCCTAGCAACATCCACTTTTATTCCTTGGTGGAGCAGAGAGAAGATTAGCTGGAGCTCCTGCAGTTTGTGAAATGTGCCTGTGATGAGCTGCAGTCAAGTGAATCACTTCGCGCAGATACCAGGATCTTTAGGGACCATGTCAATCAGGCCTGATCTGCTGAAAGAAATCCAGTGGCTTTCAGATAACCTCCGGTACAGGCTGCATGTGCTTGCCTGGACCCATACAGCACAAAGTCAACGATGTAGAAATAAATTTCAGCTCTTCAAGTCATGCATCTTACCCAGCAGGTGAGGAGAGCTTCTCTTGCTTAGCAAGATCACTTCTCTTTGGCCTTCAATATTGAACCCCTATAGTTCCATCATCATGTGCAGCTCTGAAAAATGTCCACCCAAGTCTTGGGACCAGATACTTATTTTAAAGAATGATATGTTGCTGGTTTGTACACAGGTCAGACGCACCTCTGTGCAACTTGGTCGCTGCTGATTAACTTCTACAGTAGCGAAGGAGATGTTGATCTGAAGAACAATATACGGTTACTTGAAGGTGTTGCTAAGAAGTGAGTTTCTTCCCCGGGAGAGTGGCAGCGTCATGACCACATTAAATCAAAATCCTTTACTATGATTTCTGCGTTCTCACCTCATGTATCTTTGACAGTAGGGTGGGAACTAGCCACCAAGTTAGACTGCCCAAAAAAACCCCAACCCAAAAAGCAGAAATGCTGTTGTGTTCTCGAACTGATTATTCAGCAGCTCTAAATATGTTTTCAGAAATGCAAGGTCGTATGCTGGGCTCCAGTGAGAAGGAAGTTCCCTTTGTCACAGACAGGGATGTAAAAAGGGCCAGAGAGGACAATTCAGCCCATGTTTTGCTTTTGCCCCTAGGACTGCCTTCAGCTTCTTTCTCCATAACCTGGTTTGAGAGTCTGTTTACATGGGATCTTAATTAATTCAGGAAAGAACTTTTGCTTATGTGACATTAATATTTGCTCAATTCAGGCAAAAGCTTGGTTAAGCACCATGTTAGGGCATTCCAGCAGTGACTGATAGAAAATGGCTGTGCTTTTTTTTATTATTTGGGGGCTTTTTTCTTTTCTCAGCACGTCTCAATTATGAAAGTGACCTTTAAAGGAAAGGTGGGTTCTAGGTGAAACATGCATGGAGTACTTTTTGCACATGGCTATATGATCCCCATGCTGGAGATAGGTTCTGTCTGCAATTGTCCCTTGCATTTTCATTTCATCTGTTACTGTTGCATTATCTTCATTGCCTGTTTTTTAGACTGGACTTTTTTGCCTTTACTCTTTTTAAATAACGGAGGCAAAGCTGGGACCTCTCATAACCATTATGACCATTTAAGTCTCTTTAAAAAAAAATGCTGTAGGCTGTTGATATTTAAAAATAAAAATAAAAATCAGGTACATAGCATGTAGGCGTGTGAAAATTAGACTTTGCCAGCATGGAATATTCAACAGTTGCATAATGTGGGGTTAGATCAGACTTCTCAAAATTGAAAATGACGTCAGAAACTGTGTGTGGTTGTGCACAAGTAATCTCCATTTTTAGTCTTTGTATTTGATAGCAAGTCAGACAGACGCCATCATTTAACAGGCAGCTCGTCCTGCTTCTCCTCTCCTCCCATGCTTCTTTAGAGTTCCTGAACTGCAGCCAGTCCCTGCATCACCTGGGAACCAGGGGATGACACCACTAAGAGCTGCAAGCAATGCAGGTAGTCAGGGCCCTCCTCATCACACTGGTTTATTGCTTTCACACCAAGGACCCTGCTCCGTCTTCTGTTCTTTTTCCTGTTCAGCAGTCTTAGGGCTTCCTTCTTGGTTTTAATACAAAATAGGATTTTTAATGTGATTCTGTGTAGAGAGATGCAAAAGACTCTGCAAACGAATTATTTTATTGGGGTTAATCCAGATTTTTTTCCACTTTAGTCAGGTTTATCTCAGATCCAGTTCATTAGGAATGTATTAAGCCACTCTTAAAGTGCAAGGAAAGTGTTTCTATGGGATTGTATCAATTTAACAGATGGAATTTGATGCTGGCGCATTAAACCAGTGCATAGCACTGACACAGGCAGTTATTTCTGGGTGCTTCGTGCCCACCAGAGGAGCAATAGGGGTTCCTCAGAGAAATCCCTACCCTATCTCTTCTAGTCTTGCCCCAAATGTATGTTTTCCTTACCTGCCATTGCTCTGATGTTGAGTTGTTAGAGATGTCTGTACGCAGCTATATGCTGTGGGAAACTCCATCGTTCAAGCATCCAAGGTCTTCCTATAATTACCTTCATTGTCTCTTTTTCCTTCCCAGCAGCAGTAAGTTGAGAGCATCTATGTATAACCACTTAAAAACCTCCCCTAGACTCCATCTCTTTTAACCTTTCCCTCTCTTTCATTGTGTTTTTCCTCTTCAAAAGCCAAACGCGCACTAGGAAGAGGCATCGCACGCTCTCTGGAGCGTCTGGACGCCGGCCGCAGCTCCGCTCTCCGGCCTGGCCCCATCCTTGGCTGGAGCCCCGCGTGCCTGCTGAGTGGGGACAGTCAGTGTCACACCCTGCTCATTCCTCAGCGCTCTGTGGTGGCCCAGCAATAACCCCTGCGTGCCAAACTGTGAGCCCCACGCTGCTCCTCAGGGACTTGGCCCGGCGTAGAAACTCCTCTCCCGGCGGGAGCGCCGGGGTGGCCAGCCTTCCCCCACCGCAGTGCCCGCACTGTCCTACCGACGCGTTTGTTCCTCCCTTTGTGCGCGCTAGGGACGCAGCCTGTCCCCATGGCACCCCAAGCCAGGGGCTGCACTCAGCTGGCAGCCGCCTGCTTAGGGACAGCCCCAAGTGCAGCCAGGGACAAGAAATCCTCATCCCTGTCCAAGAGAGGGTCTGCAGAGCCTGGTTTTATTTGCTGTTAAAATACAGTGCTGGGCAAACCCTTATTTCCCCGTGGCATCAGCAGTGGAGGAGGTGGTCACTCCACATCCATGGAGCCTGAGCGGAGACGCCTTTATATGAAGCTGTGTCTCACCTTGGGCAGTGGTGGGCTCACTTGCTAGGCTCAGGTTTCTCCCTTGAAGCGGTTGATGGCAGGATCTATCCTACCTCAGTTACATCGTCTTTTGTTAATAAAGGTCTTGTGCTTGGCACTTGCCATGCCGATACCTGCCAGCTGCACCGCCATGGTCCCACCACACTGCCCATCCGGCCCCGGTGGCATTGACAGGCCGGTGGCTCTGGGAGAAGAAATCTGTGTTGGCCTCTTGTGACACCAGGTTAGAGAGTGTCTTCCTGCCTTCTGGGCTTTCCAGTCAGGTGCTCCTTTGAGCTGGTGTTAGAGATGCTGAATAATGGGTTTTGTTTTTTTCTTGGTTCCGTGGGCAAAACAAGAAATACATAGGTCCACTTTGTATTAGCACAAAACCTAAAAATATTCAGTGACATAAAAATATGGGGCGATAATTATTTTCCAGGGGAACGA